GTCCAAAAAAAAAAATTCCCCCCCCCCCCCCCCCCCCTTTTTTTTTTAAACTTTTCTTTGTATAACTGAATTATGGAACTCGCTGTCCAGCGGCATTTTAGAGGACAGAAGTACAGACAAATTAGGACTAAGACAAATTTATGGAGGGTAGGGCCTACTGTGGACCAGATTCAACTAAAACAGGTTGATGGATGCTGGGTAAGTTACCCTAAAGCAAAATCACTCTGTGTAAGTCTTTTGTTTATATCCTTCCCTATGAGTCTACAACTGTTTATAGTCAGAGAGAAGATTACGGATAAGATGGGCTTGTGATTTGACTTGTAATAGCACCTTACATTTTTATGTAACATAAAAATCAGTAAGATAAACCAGAATAAGGTTCAAACATTACCTCCGAGTTGGATTAGTCAGTTTTCACTAATCTGTTATTTCTAGGTGACTTGTTGAGGGAAATAAAAAGCAAAGTTGAGAACTGTGGTTATAGGATTATTCCAAAATTGTTAATTTCGTAATGGCTAAACACTGAGTTAAATGGAATATTACGCTTTTCAATTGCCAGTGCAACTAGACTTTTATTTTGATAATGATTAATGTAACAAACAAGAATTTCTTCTCAGTTGGATTAAGCAGCAAAGCATTTGATACTCCAAGACTGAAGTGAATAGCCTTTACAACTGAATATATGTAACACTGGCATTTAAAAGGAACTAAATACATATTGGGTTTATTTCCAAGAACCTCACAGTAACATTTAACATATCAACACATGAAAACACTTTATAAAGCAATGCATTAGCTTGATTAATATTACCAAATCTTGATCTTCTTATACTCTTCATTCCCATCATTTAATTTATCAAACCTTTTTTTTTTGTTTCAAAATACAGAAGGTTATCAGCCACAAGAAGTCACCCAGATTTTCTTGTATAGACAGATACTGCAGGGATGTCAGGAAGGACATCACCGAAGGAAAAAAATAGGATTCAAAAGGGTATGAAAACCCTTAGTACCATTTGAATATTGCCAAATATTTATTTACTGATGGGAATGGAGCATCCACAGGCCAAACCCTGAGGTGGTGGCATGCAGAAGTGTGAAGAAAAGCCTGAGGAAGAGTATTGCCTAGGTGGCTAAGCAAAAGCTTTTGCATCTCAGAGGGCTATTTTGGAAACCCAGATGAATCTCTGAGCTTTGCATTTGTTTATTATCAAACCACAAAGCAGTAACAGACAGATTACAATTCTCTGGCTAACACACAAAAATACATATAAATATTACCAATAAAAAAACCATATCACTGACTCATCTCTACAGATGACAAGTACAAAGCCAATAAATACCACAATTCTAAAGCATACGTTACTGGCTGCCCTACAGAAGATAAGTACTGCATATGGTAAAAGGCTTTTTGTGGTCTTTTTTTTTTTAAAACATATGTATGTTACTAAAAACTACCTACAGTTTGAAATTCCTTACTGAACGTATCAGAAAATATACATTTACTTCCATGCTGGGCTTTCATATCTTCTCCTATATTCCTCCTCCTTTCAGATCTCAGTTTCTTAATGTATTGGATCAACAAACCTCTATAAAATGCACAAGCTCATACTGGTGATACAGACAAAGTATCCCATTATGTCATATATGTGTATATATATTATGTATATAGTGTACAAACTTAAAATTGCATTCAAAATGTATAATTCGATACTTAAGCTACATCAACATCAGTTTGCACCAGCAGGTTTTTTCTCCATCTCTGAATTATCACTTTTAACTTCTCTTCACATTCATCTGTCTTAACTCTTGTGTTCTCAAGGGATGGCGTTCCTGTTAAGCTCAGCCCTGCATAAACTGTGAAGTACAGAAATAAATCCGTTAAGTTTAAAATCAGACTCCTGACATTCCCAAATACTCACTATTTGTGCAGGGGTCTTTCCGGGATGTGGGTTTTAACTGCTTAAACTTAGTTAACAGGAGCTGTCCAAAATGCGCTTAGTTCTGACAGGTAATAACCAAGATCACAGACTAAAAGCCGAAAGGCCACCAGCATTTTCGTAAAAATTCAGAGAAGTCTATTTGATTAAAAAAAATCTCCTCCTTTTTATTGCACATGCACCTGAAAAGAGTCTACTATCTGCAAAGACAAAAAAATGCAATGCTCTAAGGACAGCCTATTTCCAAGTCATTTCTCCTCTCACATGTGACTGCAGCCTGGGAAATGACAAGTTTTGAAAAGCTTGCATGCTAAAAATAACATTTCTAAATGGAGAAAAAACCCTGCTCTTCATCCAATGTTTCAATATTATGTTGTAACCTAGAAAGAACATATTTACTAATGCTTAAAATGTTTTTTTCTAGGAAAAGGAAAGAGGATGAAATGAAAAAAATTTTCCTCTTAAATAAAATAAAAAGTCTGAACACGCTCCTTACCTCTTCTCAGGGGTGAACATGCAGAAGTGCATTAACAGAAGTAAAATACATTAAACTATAAGATGAATAAAGCCCAAAACTGTGTGCTGAAAGAGACCAGGTCACAGAAAATCCTGTTTTAAAAATTGTAGGTTTGTAGGGGAAGAAAATTTTGAGGTTCCTGTTTTGTAAGTAATTAAAAATACCACAAAATGTTATTTTTAGAAGTGTTAAGATTTTGTATAAGCAGACTAGCCTTGCAATGTGGCTAACAATCCTGTTGCCCCTTCTTGGAGCACTAACTGAAAATATTACCACCTTTCAACTTTCATAACTTTCTTCAGTTTCTAGCTCTGTAAGAAGCCGAGAACTGCAGTGGACTGACAAAGCTGTTTCTTTGTGTACTGGCCGAAGTTTCTGTAGGGATATTTTCCTTCATGATACAGTAACACCTCTTACTCCCTATGGTCTGTCAGTCTTGATTTCACTAGAGAACCATTTAGCAGCGAGATGAAGCTCCCGGTACACCGAAGGTCTGGAGGTCCTCCTTGGAGTACCAGACATGCTTCTCTGAAGGCAGTGAGTAACTGGAATCTAACGCACAGACTGCACTCAACTTCTACACTAAAAGCATATGCTCCTGCTGAACCAGTGCTATCGGTCAATCCGCACCCCAAACTCTGCTCAAATCTTTCAGCACAGAAGCGGCACATAGGAAATCAATGCATCTAAGACAAAAGACACACAAAAGGGTCAATGCCTCATGATGCGCACTGGCCAGCGTCAGATCTGCTGTGTACTTCAAACAGGTGCTGCCACTGAGAGCAACTGAATAAGGACACTCTGGCTGTTCGCTTTGAATAGCTGATTAAAACAGGTAACTTTGCCACAGCATGTCAGGGCCGAGTCCTCCTGTTGGACATCTTATGGTCAGACGAAGTCCGAATTCCAATGCAACCAACTGCAGTCCTTGTGACCTGTGTATGCAATACACATCTCCCCGTAAAGAGAAGAGCTGTGGAAGCAAAAAGAGATGTTTGCTTCTGAAGGTCTGGAGCAAGAGCTTTGTACTTCTTAGAAGTTCTGGGGTTCATCTGGATCCACAGTACGTAAAATGATCTAGTTGGGTATTTTTGTCCAAACTCCAGATGTGGCAGCTACTTTTTGGGTTTCTCTAGGATGTTCAGGAATTTCCCTCGAGTCATTTCTCTAGCTGAAATCACAAGGGAGGAAAAAGAGATTAATATTGTTTAAAAAGCCAAGAAATCCAAACAATTGTATCATTTACAGATTTTAACCATAGGATAAGAAATTCATTTAGATTTGTGCTTATACCAATAGTGACTAAGGATTATTTTATTTATTTACTTATTAAAGTGGAAAATAAATAAAACTGCATTCCAGCTCAAATTCCTGACATCCTAGAAATGCAGGCAGGGCCTGGAATCTTCTAAACTCAGCAATAATTCCCACAGGCTGTCTCATTACATACAATCTACGCTTTCTATTCCTACTGCGTTATGCTCTCGCAGCATCTCCTTTTCTCTGTACTATCCATCTCTGAATGGTGTAATCCAGATCTCCATCACTCTATCTCAGAGCAATTGTTCCTGGATGTTATAATCCGTCAGAGATTATGGAACTCTCTCTTTCCCATTTCAGGATTATTGGTCCCTGGATGCTATGATCTTCAACAGAAATTAGACAGCATTTTCTCTCTCTCAGCAGTGTCAGTCCCTGGATGCTGTAATATAATGGGGTTTATATTCCTTCAATGCAGTTCATCTATGGATGGTGTAATAAAGTAAAGTTTATAGAGCTTTGGTCTTCTCTCTCTCTCTGCATTGTCAGTCCTTCGATGTTTAATACAGCAAGGCAAGGTTTATATGTCTCTCTCTCACTCTTGGCACCATCAATCTCTGGTAGCTGTATTACAGCAGGGTTTACACAGCCACTTTTCTGCACGAGACATTTCTGACTTGTGAGCCCATAAGATCACAAGCTGGCAGAACAGCCCTAATACTATCTTTGTCTTGTAATAACAATACAATGCATCAAAGACAACACGATTAGCAACTGAGTTCTGCAGAAAGACAATCTTCTCACCAGTGCTTCCCTTCATTTCTTTTAAATAAAGGTGTAAGCTTTGTGCTGGACTGACAGGCATCAAAACATGGAGGTTTTTATTCACAGGATTGATGAAAGCGTGTATGTTTCCCACACCTAGCCTAGAGAGACTCTGGAAGGAGATGGGAATTCATTTGCTGTTTTATCCATTTAACTCCTGACCTCTCTACTGAGAGGAACAACAGAAATGACAATTAGCATAAAAACCGGAGGTGGGTTTGTTGCTGATGTTGGGTTTGACATTACTGATTACCTGTTAGAACAGAACTAAAATGTAATAAAAATGTTCAGCTTAAAATACTCAATACGCACCCTCAGGTAAAGACATTTTGTTATTCTTTACCTAAAGGTTAGAATTTATGCCTTAAAGCCTCTTCTTTAAATTATTACATTCTAATTTGTCTACCCAAAATTGTACCACAAGATACTGTCATCAACAAGGTGCCTGTAAAACAATTAGTGGTATTATGAACTGTCTGGTACATATTGATATTCATAGGCTGCAAAGTCCACTGCCGTGAGTGGAACATGCTTCAGCCTGGCTGCAGATTCAAGCAGCTCACTGCATTATTCACTTGGTTCATGCCTCCAGCTGTGAGTTATATCATCTGGGATCCATTCCCAACTCTGCTTCTGATTCACAGCGTGAACTACCACAAAAGTACTCATTTGTACCTCTACTTCCCCATCCGCAAGATAGCTTCTATCTTTTAAGTGCTGCTGAAGTGACACATGGATAGAAGGCGCTGAAGAAGGGCAGAGTGGATTGTTATTTTGTCAGGAACTAAGTTGTTATGCACAAAGAATATGATTAAATAAAAATGCAAGTTTTCAAAAATTTCAGCTAGGAATAGATTTTCAGCACCAGTTCTTTGACACCTCCCTGCCTTGCACCATCAATAGTGCATGGTTTTAAAACACTCTTAACGGAGAAAGCACAAAGCCAAACTGTAGTTGATAGAGTGGAAAGTTTTCCGGAGTACAAGTCCCATATAGGAGATATACGAATGCATGACAATTCTGTTCCCCCAAAGAGGGCTGCACCCAATAAATCAGGCAGAGAGCATAGACTCCTTCTGTGCGCTGAGTGAAATTACTGTGGGTTGGGGGTTGCTCCAGAGCACGTGCCCTCCTGTTCACTTGTCATCGGAGATGTTAACATTTCTGATTAATTCACAGACCTCTCATTTTATTCTTCATTCCTTTATCCTTGCTATCCTGTTCTGCTGCAGCTTAAAGATTCTTACCGACCTGCTACAATAATCACCGCCCGCTCCCCCCCCCAACCTGGTGAAATTGTTTAGTGATGCCAACCGCGCTTTTAATTTGCAAGACATCAGACACAGAGGTAATTTATACCAACATCTGTTCATTTCTGACTTCTGAAACAAACTCGCACATGCTGCTACAAAATCCCATTAGGAGCAGGAGACAGCCTTCTGCTATTCTGTATTCCTCTTTTCCTCACATACTCAGGCTTGCACCGGGGCTTTATTTTTAAAGATATGATGCCAAACTGAAAGAAAGGACCTTACATCTTCATATATGTATGAAAACGGCCAGGAAATAACATCCTCGTATCACAGAAAAAATCACAGCCAAACTAAGGGCAAGTTTCCACAAACATTAACAATCTTGTTTTCTCTGCTTCAGCTGCTTCTCTTATCTGCCCAAGAACCACAGTTCAATGTATTCCTGGTAAACACAGGCCAAATACATATTACATGGTACTGCGTTCAAACGTCTTGGCTATTCCTTCCCCTTTGTTCCTCTTTAATCTGCACTGGAGTATGATTTGAGCCTGGGTTTTGCACAGAAAAGCCTCTAATATTTAACCGACTCCTCTGCTCAGTATTGCTTCTGATAAATGAATTCTTAATAATGGGAATATCATTTCCAATGGGGCCTTTCGGAGCTTGCTCGAGTGAGGGAAGAGCTTGTGAATGAAGAAACCATCACCCACATTCTAAATATGATTGCAGTCTAAGAGAGACGGTAAAACCTGCCTTAAACAACTACCCAAGGGACCAGCAGAAGCCAGTGGCGTAGTAGATAGAGGCGGATTTTTTAATTAAAAGGTTGGACAAAACTGCAGTGAAAACCTTAGGGATTTTTTCTTTAAAATGGTTGCTTAAACCACGGACTTCAAGTGAAGAGAAGGCTTCAGTGCAGGTTTCATTGTACCAGCAAACAGACACTACAGAGGCTGTGCAGCATGAAACAGAAACATGAATCTCCATGTCAAGTCACGATTTACAACCCTGCCTACGCTGTGCACCTACTACAATAGAAAAATCAACAATGGATACGATCGCAATAGCTTGGATACAAATTAATCTCACCTACTAGGGAGGAGGAAGAATACTGAAGACCATAGAAAAAACACTTGAAGATGTTATCAGCAGTGGTTACAATGGAAGTTGAGTGCTTGAATAGACTCTTTCAGAGAAATGTATTGAAAACTGGTATCAGGCTATTATAATTAATAGAGAATGCTGTACTGTACGAATTAAGTTTGCTGCCTGGCAAGATCTGCCAAGCAGATCTCAAGAACAGGTATTGGGTAGGAAAGGCTGGGGCTGAAAGGAGAAGGGGAGATTTCTACTTGATAGGGGAGCAGAATAAGGTTTAATATAATCTCCTCCTTAGAACTTCAATCCCTCAATCCCGCATTTAGCCTTCTTGCCTGGGGCTCCTTTTCTACTACAATTGTCCCCAAACTGCCTCTCCGCAGTAAATTTTGTGGTTGCTGGTTGAAAAGATTCAGTAGTACAGATTGATTTCCTACAAGTGAGGAGATGAGGGATTACCAAAAGCAGTTCTGGTTAACAAGATCGGGTGCAGAATCTCCTGCTAGAGCAGCCCACTCTGCCAGTGCTTTGCATCCTTTCACTATGACATATGGGTTTCATTACACAAAGATTTTCCTGATTTTAACTTGGAGGCGATTACGTTGGAAACTCAGAGCTATCTTTACATCTGTAGCAATTTAAAGGTTAAGTAACTTTTAATCAAATGACAAAGACTCATAATGTTTTGTCCTCGATTGAAAATGAAAACTGCTGTTCCGGATATTCCTTCCGGTGACGATTTAATTAGAAAAAAACACTGCACTGGAGATTGGGGTCCAGCCTGATTTCTCCCCGTAAAAAGCCTTCTCACACATATGACAGCACAGAACATACTGTGTCATAAGGTCTGGATAGCCAGAAAATAATGGAAGGATTTACTGCTATAAAATCAGCAACGAAAACAGTGATTTACACTTACATAAGCAACTTTCACCCAGGAGAATCCCTAAGCAACACACATATGTACACAATTTTTTAACATAACATACACTTAAATGCAAAAGCGCAACTTGGTGATAAAGTCTATGTAAAAGCTATATTTGACAAACTGTATTTATCACACATTTATCATATTCATTATACCTTCCACTGCTTACTACTTCTGGGCTTATCTAAAAATCTCAAAACAAAGCCTGTGAGCATCTTCAAATCACAGATATTTTAAAATGAAGTCACCCGTCAAAGAAGCACTTCTCTGCCTCTCCCCCAGAGGTACAACTTATGGGACAAATTTGACTGTGCTCCTCCTCTGACCTGAAAACGTAGCCATGTTGAAATCTAAAGGTCTTGCCTCTAAAAAGAACTGGAAATACAATTAATGCCCTGTGAACAGAACATGTTTTTAGCCCTTAAATATCTTGTAGTATCACACTTTGAATGCTACATTCTTGACTACAAAAAGGTTATTTTAGGCACTGTCATACTTTGTTAGCTTATCAGTTATTCCTCCCATTCAGTTCTATTTACGGTAACTAAAGAACTTGTTTTTCAACATGGAAGGATTCCTTTAAAGTACTAATCATGCACTCTCAAACTACTGCTGTGTCTTAGGACTATACAGAAAACAAAACTAAAAGGGTTTATTTCTGAAGAACTATCAGTGCAAATCACCAGTTCAGGGCAAAGAACATGAATTGCAGAGAGATGGCAGAACACTCCTCTGGTTTTTAACCCCTCTATCACAAGGGTCTGTTGCATCAGAAATGATTTCTTTTGTCCTGAGACACAATGTTAG